TCCAAAACAAGGCTCATGAAATCATTTTCACAGGGCTGTTATAAAGTGAGAGTGAACCAAGTAAAGGGAATCTACACTCTTTCGAGAAAACTTGTTGTTAACAATATATGTGTGAATAAATAGACTGGACAAGAATAATATAAACTTGAATCAATGGAGTTTAGAGATACGGACATGAAGTTATTGATTCAGATTCTGAATCAAGATTATCTGCTTTGAACTGGATTATATGTCAGAGTAGACCAATTCTGAATTATACATTTATGAGTGTATATATTGGGGGGGGGGGTTGGGTTCCAGAACTATAAGCTGTTATAAGCATATATATTTCCTTAAAAAACAAGAACACCCCCCCCCCCAAAGCCTAGTATTATAAGCTTTTATACGTGTATACATAATATGATGTCGAGCACTGACACCCACACCCCCTGGGATCAAATTAAAAAAACATAGCCCCCACAGCCCTCAGAGTGGGGTTCCTTTCCTTCCTTTCCCAGAGCATAACCTCTCTTCACCCCCAACTAACCTCCAAGTCACCACCCCTTCCCTAAGTCAGTGTTTCTCAACCTGGGGGTCAGGACCCCTGGGGGGGTTGTGAGGGTGTGTCAGAGGGGTCGGCAAAGACCATCAGAAAACACAGTATTTTTGGTTAGTCATTGGGGTTCAGTGTGGGAAGTTTGGCCCAATTCTCTTGTTGGTGGGGTTCAGAATGCTATTTGACTGCAGGTGAACTATAAATCCCAGCAACTATAACTCCCAAATGTCAAGGTTTATTTTCCCCAAACTCCACCAGTGTTCACATTTTGGCATATTGAGTATTTGTGCCAAGTTTGGTCCAGATTCATCATTGTTTGAATCCACAGTACTCTCTGGATGTAGGTGAACTACACCTCCAAAACTCAAAATCAATCCCCACCAGACCCTTCCAGTATTTTCTGTTGGTCATGGGAGTTCTTTTGTGCCAAGTTTGGTTCAGTTCCATTGTTGGTTGAACTCTTTGATTGTAGGTGAACTATAAATCCCAGCAACTACAACTGCCAAATGTCAAAATTTGGGCATATTGGGTATTTGTGCCTAATTTGGTCCAGTGAATGAAAACACATCCTGCATATCAGATATTTACATTATGATTTATAACTGTAGCAAAATTGCAGTTATGAAGTAGCGATGAAATAATTTTATGGTTGGGGGTCACCACACATGAGGAATTGTATTAAGGGGTCGCGGCATTAAGAAGGTTGAGAAACACTGGCCTAAGTACTCCAGTTCCCGTGCTCGGGAGCTCCCCGTATCCATGGACCCCTTTCGTGTGCGTGTAATGTAATATTTTATGTTTTATAAATCTTTGGAGTCATGAAGCCACTGATCAAGACTCAGGTAATCTTTCTCCTTGACTCAGAAATTCCCTCCAGTGATTTTATTGGTCATCACCCAACAACAATATACTCATGCACCCATCATCTCTGTAATCAATCCATCTCTATTGATTCCCATAAGGCTGACTGTGAAAGGGACAACAGGCATCTAATACCGGGACGCATGTCCTTTGTGCAGCCACATGGACACAAAAGGAACACTGGCTTCAAACTACAAGAGAGGAGATTCCATCTGAACATGTGGAAGAACTTCCTGACTGTGAGAGCCGTTCAGCAGTGGAACTCTCTGCCCCGGAGTGTGGTGGAGGCTCCTTTTTTGGAGGCTTTTAAACAGACACTGGATGGCCATTTGTCGGGGGTGCTTTGAATGCAATTTTCCTGCTTCTTGGACTGGATGGCCCACAAGGTCTCCTCCAACTCTATGAAGGCAGGATCATCAAGTTTGCAGATGACACCAAATTGGGAGGGATGGCCAATACTCCAGAGGACAGGAGCAGGATGCAAAACGATCTTGACAGATTAGAGAGATGGGCCAAAACGAACAAAATGAAGTTTAACAGGGACAAATGCAAGATACTCCACTTTGGCAGGAAAAAACGAAATGCAAAGATACAGAATGGGGGACAATGCCTGGCTCGAGAGCAGTACGTGTGAAAAAGATCTTGGAGTCCTCGTGGACAACAAGTTAAACATGAGCCAACAATGTGATGTGGCAGCAAAAAAAGCCAATGGGATTTTGGCCTGCATCAATAGGAGCATAGTGTCTAGGTCCAGGGAAGTAATGCTACCCCTCTATTCTGCTTTGGTTAGACCACACCTGGAATATTGTGTCCAATTCTGGGCACCACAATTCAAGAGAGATATTGACAAGCTGGAATGTGTCCAGAGGAGGGCGACTAAAATGATCAAGGATCTGGAGAACAAGCCCTATGAGGAGCGGCTTAAAGAGCTGGGCATGTTTAGCCTGAAGAAGAGAAGGCTGAGAGGAGATATGATAGCCATGTATAAATATGTGAGAGGAAGCCACAGGGAGGAGGGAGCAAGCTTGTTTTCTGCTTCCCTGGAGACTAGGACACGGAACAATGGCTTCAAACTACAAGAAAGGAGATTCCACCTGAATATGAGGAACTACTTCCTGACTGTGAGAGCTGTTCAACAGTGGAACTTTCTGCCCCGGAGTGTGGTGGAGGCTCCTTCTTTGGAGCTTTTAAACAGAGGCTGGATGGCCATCTGTCAGGGGTGATTTGAATGCAATATTCCTACTTCTTGGCAGGGGATTGGACTGGATGGCCCATGAGGTCTCTTCCAACTCTTTGATTCTATGATTCATAGTGAAGAGGGAGCAAGCTTGTTTTCTGCTGCCCTGGAGAGTGGGATGCAGAACAATGGCTTCGAACTACAGGAATGGAGATTCCACCTGAATATGAGGAACTACTTCCTGACTCTGAGAGCTGTTCAGCAGTGGAACTCTCTGCCCTAGAATGTGGTGGAGGTTCCTTCTTTGGAGGCTTTTAAACAGACACTGGATGGCCATCTGTTGGGGGTGCTTTGAATGCAATTTTCTTGTTTCTTGGACTGGATGGCCCACAAGGTCTCTTCCGACTCTATGAGTCTATGAAATAGTGGAGCGTAATGGTACTTCCTGTTGTCTGACTCCTGAGGTAACAGTGACTTGCTACAAAACAGGAGCTTTTTGTTGAGTTCCAGGGCCAGAGAAGCAGATGGCGGAAACAGAAGAATGGCCTGCCTCAGGGGAGTGTGCTAGCTCCATCCATGTTCAACATCTACACAAATGACCAGCTACTGCCAGGAGGGACAGAGAGTTTCATCTATGCTGATGATCATGCCATTACCGCTCAAGCAGGGAGCTTTGAGATGGTTGAACAGAAGCTCTCCGAAGCTCTAGGTGCCCTTACTGCCTATTACAGGGAAAACCAACTGATCCCTAATCCATCTAAAACGCAGACATGTGCCTTTCACCTTAAGAACAGACAAGCATCCTGAGCTCTGAGGATTACCTGGGAAGGAATCCCACTGGAGCATTGCAGCACATCTAAATACCTGGAAGTCACTCTGGACCGTGCTCTTACCTACAAGAAGCACTGCCTGAACATCAAACAAAAAGTGGGTGCTAGAAACAATATCACACAAAAGCTGACTGGCACAACCTGGGGATCACAACCAGACACAGTGAAGACATCTGCCCTTGCGCTATGCTACTCTGCTGCTGAGTATGCATGCCCAGTGTGGAACACATCTCACCACACTAAAACAGTGGATGTGGCTCTTAATGAGACATGCCGCATTATCACAGGGTGTCTGCGCCCTACGCCACTGGAGAAATTACACTGCTTAGCCGGTATTGCACCACCTGACATCCGCCGGGAAGTAGCAACCAATAATGAAAGGACCAAGGCAGTGACATCTCCAGCTCAGCCCTTGTTTGGGTGTGTTATGTACTGGCTGTTGACTGTTTTAATTGTGATAACTGTTTTAATTATGTTTTTGTATATTATGTGTAATTTGTATAGGCATCGAATTCTGCCTTTTCTGTAAGCCGCCCTGAGTCCCCCTTCCGGGGTTGAGAAGGGCGGAGTACAAGTACCAGAAATAAATAAATAAATAAATAAATAAATAAAAAATTGGGTATCAGGCAGCATGTCAACAACTTAAATCAAGAAATAGTTTTCTTAGATCTACAGAGACTCTTGCTGGAACACCTCAGCAAGTGAGAGTCCAAAAGTGGCAGGCTCAAACCCAGCACCTCAACCCCAGCACCTCAATCTGATACCAGATGAGAGACTCTAACCTGGGCACACAGAAAACTGGGTGACTAGAAAGGCGCTGAACAGACTGCGCTCTGGCACCACGAAATGTAGAGCCAACCTTAAGAAATGGGGCTACAAAGTGGAATCCTCGACATGCGAGTGTGGAGAAGAGCAAATTACAGACCACCTGCTGCAATGCAACCTGAGCCCTGCCACATGCACAATGGAGGACCTCCTTGCAGCAACACCGGAAGCACTCCAGGTGGCCAGATACTGGCCAAAGGACATTTAACCAACTACCAAACTCACAAGTTGTGTATTTTGTCTGTTTGTTTGCTTTGTTCTGTTAGAAATATAATATAATGGACTGGTTGCTCTGACACGACAAATAAAAAATAACAGGAATGGAGATTCCACCTGAATACGAGGAACTACTTCCTGACTGTGAGAGCTGTTCAGCAGTGGAACTCTCTGCCCCGGAGTGTGGTGGAGGCTCCTTCTTGGGAGGCTTTTAAACAGACACTGGATGGCCATCTGTTGGGGGTGCTTTGAATGCAATTTTCCTGCTTCTTGGACTGGATGGCCCACAAGGTCTCTTCCAAAGTGTATGATTCTATGAAATAGTGGAGTCCTGTTGCCTGACTCCTGAAGTAACTGTGACTTGGGGGGACATGTGTGTGGAGGCCGAGGCCTGGCAGAAGAGTGCCTCCTCTTCCTTCTTCTTCTCCTCCTCCTCCTCTTTGGTGGAAAGGCCCCTTCGGGGTAGGCCCGGCCCCTTTGGAGGGGCGGGGAGAGGCGGCTTCTCCGCAGCGGAGGGCGCTGCTACTGCTACTGCTACAGGAGGCGGAGCGCGGAGGAAGAGGAGGAGGAGGCCGCAGAGAGGCAGCAGCGGCAGAGGCAGCAGAGGCATCAGCAGGCGAGGCGATGGCTCCTGCGGGCGGCGGGGGCTCGAGGGCGGGCAAGATGGCGCCGTCGCACGTCCTGAAGTGCTGCCAGAAGGTGCTGGCCTGGGTCCCCGTGGCCTTCATCGCCCTGGTCGTGGCCTGGTCCTACTACGCCTACGTGGTCGAGCTCTGCCTCTGTGAGTATAGCAAGCCGCTGGGAAGAAGGGAACCAGGAAGGGAGGAAGGGAGGAAGGAGGAAATCCCTCTCGAGGGAAGGAAGGGAGGGAAAGATTGGGGATCCCCTGCCATAGGTGGGGGCGAAACGTCAGGAGAGAATGCTTCTGGAACATAGCCCTACAGCCTGCAAAACTTACAACATTTATATTATGTATTGTCGAAGGCTTTCATGGCTGGAATCACTCAGTTCTTGTGGGTTTTTTCGGGCTATATGGCCATGTTCTAGAGGCATTTCTCCTGACGTTTCACCTGCATCTGTGGCAAGCATCCTCAGAGGCAGTGAGGTGAGGATGCTTGCCACAGATGCAGGCGAAACGTCAGGAGAAATGCCTCTAGAACATGGCCATATAGCCCGAAAAAACCCACAAGAACTGATTTATATTATGATTTCGTGTCAGGAAATGTGAGAGAATTGGCCGTCTTTAAGGACGTTGCCCAGATTTTTTTTGATGTTTTACCATCCTTCTCTCATGTCCTCGAAAGAGAAGCTGGAGCTGACAGAGGGAGGTCATCCACGCTCTCCCCGGGTTCGAGCCTGTGACCTGTCAGTCTTCAGTCCTGCCGGCACAAGGGGAACACCCAGATTTTTTTGATTTTTTACCATCCTTGTGGGAGGCTTTTTCATGTCCCTGCATGGGAAGCTGGAACTGACAGAGGGAGCTCACCTGCGCTCTCCCAGGGTTCGAGCTTGTGACCTGTCGGTCTTCAGCCCTGCCGCCGGCACAAGGGGAACACCCAGATTCCTTTTTTTTTTTATGTTTTATCATCTTTGTGGGGGGCTTCGCTCATGTCCTCTAAAGGGAAGCTGGAGCTGACAGAGGGAGCTCWTCCGCGCTTTCCCCGGGTTCGAGCCTGTCGGTCTTCAGTCCTGCCGGCACAAGGGGAACGCCCAGATTTTTTTGATGTTTTACCATCCTTGTCGGAGGCTTCTCTCATGTCCTCGAAAGGGAAGCTGGAGCTGACAGAGGGAGCTCATCCGCGCTCTCCCCCGGGTTTGAACCTGCGACCTGTCGGTCTGCAGTCCTGSCAGCACAAGGGGAACACCCAGATATTTTTGATGTTTTACCATCCTTGTGGGAGGCTTTTTCATGTCCCTGCATGGGAAGCTGGAGCTGACATACGGAGCTCACCCGCGCTCTCCCCCGGGTTCGAGTCTGTGACCTGTCAGTCTGCAGTCGTGCTGGCACAAGGGGAACGCCCAGATTTTCCCAGATTTTTTTTATGTTTTACCATCCTTGTGGGAGGCTTCTCTCATGTTCTCGAAAGGGAAGCTGGAGCTGACAGAGGGAGCTCATCCGCGCTCTCCCCCGGGTTTGAACCTGCGACCTGTCGGTCTGCAGTCCTGCCGGCACAAGGGGAACACCCAGATATTTTTGATGTTCCTGCATGGGAAGCTGGAGCTGACATACGGAGCTCACCCGCGCTCTCCCTGGGTTCGAGCCTGTGACCTGTCGGTCTGCAGTCCTGCTGGCACAAGGGGAACGCCCAGATTTTCCCAGATTTTTTTATGTTTTACCATCCTTGTGGGAGGCTTCTCTCATGTTCTCGAAAGGGAAGCTGGAGCTGACAGAGGGAGCTCATCCACACTCTCCCCCGGGTTTGAGCCTGTGACCTGTCGGTCTTCAGTCCTGCCGGCACAAGGGTTTAACCCATAATACAACTTTGTTTTCAACCCGCTCTCTCTCCCCAAAGGGACTCAGGACCTCACAACCCCTGAGGATGCTTGCCATAGATGCAGGCAAAACGTCAGGAGAGAATGCCTCTAGAACATGGCCATATAGCCCGAAAAAACCTACAACAGCCCAGTGAATCCGGCCATGAAAGCCTTCGACAATACATTGGACTCAGGGCAGCTTCCAAAGTAAAAAAGTAAAAAGGCAAACATTGAATTTGGTTGTAGTAGGTTTTTCGGGCTATATGGTCATGTTCTAGAAGCATTCTCTCCTGACGTGTCACCTGCATCTATAGCAAACATCCTCAGAGGTTGTGAGGTCGCAATCTCACAACCTCTGAGGATGCTTGCCATAGATGGAGGCGAAACATCAGGAGAGAATGCTTCTAGAACATGGCCATATAGCCCGAAAAACCTACTACAACCCAGTGATTCCAGCCATGAAAGCCTTCGACAATACATTATGCACTGAATTGCTATTCAGTGCAGAGTTGCAGGGAAGCCCTGCGACTCTGGAACTATAGAGTGCCTTCCCCTCAAAATGTGCAGCATGCAGGTGGAGTGTTCAGCTCTGATTTAAATCATTAGCCTAACATGTATTCTTCAACATCATTGGATTCCCTTTGTGGGTCTATGTGCCGCCTTCAAGTTGCCTGGTGATGTAAGGCAGCCCCCTGACTATAGGGTCTTCTGAGAACCCTTCCACACAGCCCTATATCCCAGAAGATCAAGGCAGAAAATCCCACATTATCTGAGTGTGGACTCAGACAACCCAGTTCAAAGCAGATATTGTGGGATTTTCTGCCTTGATATTCTAGGATACAGGGCTGTGTGGAAGGGCCTTCAGATAACACAGTTCTAAGTAGATATTGTAGGATTTTCTGCCTAGATATTCTGGGTTATATGACTGTGCTGGAGGGCCCTGAATCCACACTGCCATATATTCCAGTTCAAAGCAGATACTGTAGGATTTTCTGCCTTGATATTCTGGGATATAGGGCTGTGTGGAAGGGCCCTGAGGCAAAGAAGACTGCTTTGAACTGGGTTATCTGAGGCCCCTTCCACACAGCTGAATGAAATCCCACATTATCTGCTTTGAACTGGAATATATTGTAGTGTGGACTCAGATAACCCAGTTCTAAGCAGATATTGTGGGATTTTTCTGCCTAGATATTCTGGGTCAGATGACTGTGTGGAAGGGCCCTGAGTCCACGCTGCCATAAATTCCAGTTCAAAGCAGATAATTGTGGGATTTTTCTGCTTTGATATTTTGTGTTATATGGCTGTGTGGAAGGGCCCTCAGGCTCCATCACTGCCATATAATCCAGTTCAAAGCAGATAATTGAGATTTTATATGACAGTGTAGAAGGGGCCTCAACAATCCTCTTAAACTATAGGGCAGGGGTCCACAAACATTGTAAACAGAGAGCCAGGTCACAGTCTCTCAAACTGTTGGAGGGCTGGATTGAATGAATTCCTATGCACACTACACATATCTTATTTGTAATGCAACCCCCCCCCCCCCATAAAAACAATACAATAATTAAAATGAAGAACAATTTTAACAAATATAAACTTATTAGTATTTCAATAGGAAGTGTGGGCCTGCTTTTGGCTGATGAGATTGGATTGTTATTGTCGTTGTGTGCTTTCAAGTCGTTTCAGACTTAGGTTGACCCTAAGCGAGGGCCGGGTAAATTACTTTGGAGGGCCATATCCGGCCCCCGGGCCTTAGTTTGAGGACCCCTGCTATAGGGTGTCTCCCCTCAAAATGAACAGTATACAGATGAGACTCAGGGTTCTTCCACACAGCCCTATATCCCAGAATATCAAGGCAGAAAATCCCACAACATCTGCTTTGAACTGGGTTGAAAGGATGTTTTATCATCCTTTGGGATGATAAAAGAAGCTGGAGCTTTGGGATGATAAAAGAAGCTGGAGCTGACAGATGGGAGCTCACCCCGCTGCCTTCAAGTTATCTGTCAACTTAGGGCATCCCCATGAATTTCATATGGTTTTCCTTAGGCAAGGAAGATTCAGATATGGTTTAAAATTATTCTTCTTATTAAACTACAGAGTGTCTCCCTCAAAAATGTACAGTAAACAGATGCAATGTGTGGTTCTGACTAAATTATTATAACATTTTCATTTATTCTTCAATATTTTGGGAGTCTATGTGCCTGCAAGTTGCCCATGTACTTCGTGCGACCTCATTCTTCTATTAATGTGTTGTCGGAGGCTTTCATGGCCAGAATCACTGGGTTGCTGTGAGTTTTCTGGGCTGTATGGCCATGTTCCAGAAGCATTCTCTCCTGACGTTTTGCCCACATCTATGGCAGGCATCCTCAGAAGTTGTGAGGTCTGTTGGAAACTAGGTGAGTGAGGTTTATATATCTGCGGAATGTCCAGGATGGGAGAAAGAACTCTTGTCTGTTGGAGGCAGGTGTGAATGTTGCAATTGGCCACCTTGATTAGTGTTGAATGGCCTTGCAGCTTTAAGGCCTGGCTGCTTCCTACCTGGGGGAATCCTTTGTTCTGCCTCCCACAGACAAGAGTTCTTTCTCCCACCCTGGACATTCCGCAGATATATAAACCCCACTCACCTAGTTTCCAACAAACCTCACAACCTCAGAGGATGCTTGCCATAGATGTGAGTAAAACATCAGAAGAGAATGCTTCTAGAACATGGCCATACAGCCCAGAAAACTCACAGCAACCCAGCGATTCTTCTATTACTGTTAAAATATAGAAACACTCCCCCTCCCCAAATGTGCAGTATATGGATGGAATGTGTGGCTATAATTACATTTGTTGCCCTAAACTTGAAGGCATATAGACCCACAAATGAATCCGTTTGTATGGAAGAACAGCTGTTAGAATGCTTGTTTTTCAGTACATTTCTGAGTCTATGGCAGGCAATTTGAAGAAACGCAGACCCACAAATGAACCCTATTTTATTGAAGAACCAATGTTACAACAAATAGATTCATATCCATTCAGAAATACGCCTCAGTGAGTCCGGAAGGACCCGTGTCTCTGTATGCTCATTACAACATTGGTTTTTCTATAGAAATGGATTCATGTGTGGGCCTACGTGCTTACACGTTGCCTCTACTTAGGGTGACCCCAGTGAATTTCATAAGTATTGTCGAAGGCTATCATGGCCGAAATCACTGGGTTGTTGTAGGTTTTTTCGGGCTATATGGCCATGGTCTAGAGGCATTCTCTCCTGACATTTCGCCTGCATCTATTGCAAGCATCCTCAGAGGTAGTGAGGTGAGGATGCTT